CTGGTCCAGCTAACCAATCACAGCACACACTGGCCCAGCTAACCAATCACAGCACACACTGGCCCAGCTAACCAATCACAGCACACACTGGCCCAGCTAACCAATCACAGCACGCACTGGCCCAGCTAACCAATCACAGCACACACTGGCCCAGCTAACCAATCACAGCACACACTGGCCCAGCTAACCAATCACAGCACACACTGGCCCAGCTAACCAATCACAGCACACACTGGCCCAGCTAACCAATCACAGCACACACTGGCCCAGCTAACCAATCACAGCACACACTGGCCCAGCTAACCAATCACAGCACACACTGGCCCAGCTAACCAATCACAGCACACACTGGCCCAGCTAACCAATCACAGCACATTTCGTATTTCAGAAGGTGGGCCTTCATTTGATACAGGAACTATTCGAGCCGTTCATGCCAGACTGGGGAGAGAGGTGTTGTAATAATGTAAAATATGTGTTTTTCGAACAACCTAGTATGAGAGCCTGTTCTAGTACACCCCCAAAACAAAATCAAGACTTTGTAAAAGAGCATAATAGGACCCCTTTAAACTTTTCTATGTACATATTAAATGTAAAATAACTACTTAAATTGCTGCTACAGTCTTAACTGAATGATTGACACATATATAATAGTACTGATTCAATGCTGTTGAAGTTATACCGAGAATCGGCTCTGTAAGAGAAGTGCATTTTACCATTCATGTTAGGGCTGTGCGATATGGACAAAAAAAACGTATCGCGATTTCTTTGATCAATTTTGCTATTTCGATTTTAATCACGATTTTGACACAGACATGCTTTACAGTCATTAATGCATTCTGTGTGAATTTGAAACATATTTCCAAAAGAAAACCAGTTAGAGCTTTATCAAAAAGCTGTAACATGTCTCTAGAACAGACATAAGGCAAAATAATCACTAGGTAAAGGTGTAACAAAATGTCTCTAGAATAGACATATGGCAGGAAAAAAAAAATCCTGTGTCCAGGGATTTTTTTTTGCCATGCATTGGTCATAGAGCTCTTTGTGGCGTTGCCTCAGATGTTGAATTAGATTTGTTGCGCCAAGTTCACACGTACTCAGTCTGCAGTGCGTATACAGTAATTGTATGCGGTGCAGAAGCCGCACGGACTCATTTTGCTTTCGCACAGGACGCGTTTGCGGTCCGCTCCTGATCCGCGGCTGTTTACCACTAACACAACATTTATCCATTATTTTGATTTCAAATCCAAACGTTGTTTCTGAAAATGCTTTTTCAGCATTGTGATTCTCTTTTATCACAGTACAGTAATACAATCTTTCATAGACATATTCACGTTTAAACTCAATAAATATAACTTTGTTTAACTACCACCACGAGTGCCATCTATTATTGCCTTGTTTATCTAAAAGTGCACTTTTCCTTGTTTTAAATCTAGCCAAAAAGCCATGTGTTGACTGTAAAACAGTAGACTTTAATTATATGCATTTATGGTGTAATTACTAAATTTCTGTGTCAATCCATGTTCATTTTTACCGCGAATAATGCGCTGTCACTTTAATTAAGCGCGTGAAGCACAGCAGAAATAGACTCCGTGCTCCTGGAGCACACTGCCGGACCGCAATCGCGTGCCATGTGAACGCTCTGATCCGTTAACATGGGCTCGGACAAAATACGCACCACTGACGGAGTGTGTGAACCTGGCGTTACGTTTGTATGCCTGCCCGGTCTGTTCTGCTCTCGCGCACTGCATTCTGATTGATTCGGATAGCATACTGCGGGAGGTCAGGGCGCGGAAAATCGTGCTGTAAAGCGATTTAGAAATCGCGCATGCTCAAATCGCGATTTTATGACGATTTCGATTAATCGCACAGCCCTAGTCTGTGCTAAGGGTCAATAGATTTCCTTACAATTTTATTCTTTTCAATAATTAAGAAGAATAAATAAGAAATTCAAGCCGAAGAGCACGTTTTGTCCTCATGTCACAAATCCTTCAATGAATACCTTTTGCAGATTGGTGGAAAGAGATGTTGAAAAATTATTTTGTGACTCCCCTGTAAAGCAAAAATTTCATTTATCGAAATCAGAAAAAGATGCTCTTGATAAATTATGCAGAGACAAGGATATAGTGGTTAAACCTGCTGATAAAGGGGGTGGCTTAGTAATTTTGCCCAGAACTCTTTACAATTCTGAAGTTTTCGACAGTTACAAAATAGCATCTACTAAAAAGTCTTAACATCAGACCCTACCATACAATTTCAAAGAGAAATTGAACATTTTCTTAAGATGGCACACTTGGAGGGTTTGATTTCTGAAAAAGAATTACAGTATCTTTTCAACCGCTCTCCAACCAAACCTGTATTCTATATCTTACCCAAAGTCCACAAAGATCAAAAAAATCCTTGTGGACGACCTATAGTGGCAGGTATTAATAGT